ATGATGATGATGATGATGATGATGATGATGATGATGATGATGATGATACTGTAAGAATGATGATGATAAGAATGATAGTTGGACAGTTGAAGTTGGTAGCCGTTCTTCAAGGAGAACCCTTCGCAGGTGCTTTCGGGAACAAACGAAAACCGTGTTTTAAAAAAGGGAAGAGGAATTCAAAACAAACATGATGAAAAAGCGTTCAATCAAGAGTGTTTTAAAGGCACACTCAATTCAGAGGCGTTTTGCGGCCACAACCTGACCTTACTAAATGTAACGTAAACATTGTTCTCCCCTCCTGTGAACGCAAATTACATTTTCCGTTGGGGGGCCATTTCAAGAGCAGGTAGGGGGCAGGAATGTTAAATCTGGAAACTGTAGACTCCACGGACCAGTCTTGCAAAAAGAAGAAAACCTCATTTGTATCTTATCTATGAGTCGAATGAATGAACCAAATCAAAATGACTCGGAGTTCCCAGGCAACCAAGCAACAAATTGACCAGCTCTTCACCAGAGCGTGCGCCTAAGAACCGACAGGAAGCTTCCACGTTGAGCTCCTTGGCCCTGTGATCGCAATGCATCTTGTTGTCTCCATCACCGACAAAAACCACCTTCGCATCGGCATGGCATTGTAAGATATCTGGCACCGCTTCGATCAAAATGTCGCCGCCCTTCATTCCACCCACCATGCGCCCGACAAAAAGCACCACAGGGTCCAATGGACCAATGCCATAAGTTCCTTTCACAGAACCAGGATCTTCCAACATCCCGTCAAATCGTGCACACTGGATGCCATTGTGAACCACCCAGACCTTGGCCTCCCACGGTCCGTCAAATTCTGTGAACGGTTGGAGGATATCACGAATGTAGGAGCAAGAAGCTACGAACGGAGCAAAGGGCATCGCTACTAGGGGCTCCTGGCCGTGCTACTAGGAACAAGGTTGGCTACTAGGAGCTGACGGACAAACAAACAATGACAAACATGCTATTGTCGCTTCGGTGGCCACCGACGTGTCTTGTGTTCTCATGTTGAGCCATTCCATCGCCTTATGTGAGCCACCCCAACAAAAAAAAAATAAGAGGAGAAGGGAGCCATTCCAATGTGGCAGACCTAAATAGAGAGGAGAAAGGAGCCATTCCAACGTAGCATACCTTTTGTGACAAAAACAGCGCCGACTTGAGCCTGTGTTTCAAAAAAGTGCGGGCGCTATATGAATGAAGCGTGAGCTATCCGCTTTAGCTAAAAACCAGGAACTAGGACAGAGAAAGGAACTGCTCCCGCCTCAGGAAGCTGATAGGTGTCACAAAGCTCTTCCTTCAGCCGCTCGGAGACCGCAATGACACGATCTGCGACAAAGGCTGCTTCGCCTTCCATCGATGCCACGCGCTCGGAGCCACCTCCAGGGCCTGAAAGCACATTCAAAAATACCTAGCGATGGCCTCTCAACGGGAAAAGAATACAAAGGATTAGATTCAATATTCAAGCTAACAAGTAAGTAACTAAGTGGTAGCAAGGAAGCTGCTAGGACGCAGAGGGCTCAGACTTAATGATTTGGTTCCTAGATTGGAGAAACTGAACGAGCAAGAGGAGGGTAGGGACAGGTAGGAAGGTAAGAAGAATGAAAGGGAGAAAAGCATGTAGCTACTAGGCTAATGAAGCTACTGAATGGCGGCGAATCAGTTTGAACGATCGGGAAACGACGTAGGATGCCGTTGCATTCGCTGTTTCATTCCAAAGATGTTTCTGAAAGCGTTTCTGTTGCGTTCGGCACCGCTGGTGTCCCTTTGAACGTTTGGCAAAAGCGGTACTTCTTCCTAGTAGCGAACCTTGTTACTACTAGTAAGGCACTTGTTACTAGAAGCGATGCACTTGTTTCTAATAGCTTCTTGTTACTACTAGTAAGGCACCTGTTGCTACTAGCGTGGCACTTGTTCCTAGTAGCTTAATTCTGTAAAGCGTCCTGTTCTTCCTTTTTGCGTTCTGTACATGTGTCAAGACCACAATTCGCAGTGTGTTCGCTTGGTGTGTTGCTCTTTTTGCGGACAGTGTCGAAACCCAACATGTCTACACAGAAAACATAACTGCACCAGTGCCACACTGCACCCCACCTGCAACCCTATCTCCCCCCACAAACCCCATCTTTTGCGCTCATTGCGATCCATCGTAACTCGGAATGCTTACATCAAAACGTCCATAGAACAATCTGGACACATCCGTCATGGACACGAAAGCACTGAACTCTCGAAAAGACCATTTCTAACTTTACAAAGAGGAGCTCTGTATTGTTCCATAGTGTCTTTGCGCCTTCATTCTTCGTTTCATGTTTTTCGATATGTTTGTCATGCTTCGTTTCGTTCCGTTCAATGTGGGTCCCCATTTTTGTGTACCTACGAAAGGTCGTGTGCACAGCGTTGGAATCCACCTCATGAGGTTGGGAGTGACAGCAATGAGCAATCGCCTCCGCCTCCAACCTGCTCCTAGAAGGTCCACTTGCTCCTAGTAGTAACAGGTGCATCGCTAGTAGTAACAAGAAGCTACTAATAGCACACACTCTTCCTAGTAAGGCCAGGAGCCCCGTTTGTAGCGTCTGATCGCTCCGTTCATAGCGATGGCCTCGGCCTCCAACCCAAAAAGAGTCGATCGACTGTTCCGATCCGCTTGACCCTGCTCGACCCTGCTCGACCCTGTTCCTAGCGAGGCCTCCGCTTCGACCCTGCTCTGTGCTGTGGAAAGTGAAGATGCAGCGAAGACCATGAGAATTTTTGCATTGCACCATTGCCTCAGAACCGTTTCTTGAGAATATGAATATGAATAAATTGGCGAGGTGAAAAAACTACCACGTTCAGTTCCAACATGTTTGGAGGCCATCGCTAGCAGATCGGAGGCCATGGCCGCTATTAGGTTGGAGGCCATCGCTAGTTTGTGTCAATTTGTGCCTTGCATGCCATCCAGTCGTGAGCGTGTGCGATGTCAAAATCGCCCACCATTGACACCGTCTCACCTGCGACATCTCGTGACTCAACTTGAGAAGGTCACAGTTACTGTCACTTGTCACTCACAAAGTCTTCGGAGTCTGTTTTCAAAGCAAAAAACATGACTTGTTCATCTGGCTCGGCAAAAAAAACCTGACGATTGGCACTTTGTTGACGCCAAGACACCAAAGCACCACACCATGGAATTGCACATCTTTTCCATGGAGTCGACGAAATCATCGCTAGGGGGGCATTGTACACGGTGGTACATGACTCCATAAATCTCCTTCACAGGGCGCAGTGTGCAGTGAGCCATCTTCACAGTATCAATTCCAATGCGTTTACCTATCTAAACCATGCTGAACGCTTGCACTGGACACTGCCAAGGACTGCACAACCGCTCACAGAAACAATGTGTACGATCTAGGTTGGGTAATTTTCCTTTGGCATTAGCTATCTTCAGGCTTCCAATTCAGGACGCAAAGAGGTTCCCAAACCTCATGATTCATGACCTTCGGAGGCTTTCGGCAAAAAACAACCTAGTAGCGATGGCCGCTAACCTAGTAGCAAAGGCCTCCAACCTAAGAGCGATGGCCTCAACCCTAAGAGCGATGGCCTCCAACCTAAGAGCGATGACCTCGAACCTAGTCGCGATGGACTCCGACCTAGTTTCAAGAGCCTGCAATCTAAGAGCGATGACCTCCAACCTAGTAACGATGGCCTCCAATCTAGTAGCGATGGCCTCCAACCTAGCAGCGATGGCCTCCAAGCGAGTAGCGATGGCCTCCAACCTAGTAGCGATGGCCTCCAACCTAGTAGCGATGGCCTCCAACCCTATAGATCGGGCAAGACAATTTTTTGTCTCTAAAAAAATTAACTATTTAGATAATTTTTTACAACTTTTTTCGAAAGAAATAGTTAATTTTCTTTAACTATTTTTGAGACAATTCTGGGGGCAATTCAAAAAATTAACTTTTTTTTCAGGACAATTCTTGAGACAATTCTATAATTTGTAGTTTTTAAAAGACAATTCTTGGTGTCATTTTTGTTTTACATTTTTCTTTTTTCAGACACTGTTTGAAGTATTTCTTTGTTAAATACATTTTTTGAAACAGTTCCTGGGGCAATTCTGCTTGTTAAAGCTACTTTCTTGAGACAATTCTTTCTGTAAGTCTGAATTTCAACCTTGTTCTTTAGACAAACCATATCAATATTATAGAAAATGTGTTTGGTTGGCCTGCTTTCTGCTTGCAATAATCCTACACATCTCCATCCAGAACCTTCAAAATGTGACCCAACTTGGTCCAAAAAGAGCAATAATCCTACAACATTGTGCAATAATCCTACCAAAGTATAAATTGGAGTAGTTGAGTCTTTTTAGTCTTTCAATCATTGCAACAATTCAAAAGCTATCAGCCAGTGGTCCATGAGCTTAGCTCCAGCCATCAGAGGTGGTGTTCCAGCTGCACAATTTTGTGCCATGTGCCGGACCACCCCCATGAAATCTTCTTGAAAATAGCACCAGGTCATCCTGGGGTTCAAGGCCCCACTATTCTCAGTCAGGCGCTGCAGCATGTGCATCTTAGATGTCACTTGGAAAATTGGGGGCACATCTTCTTGTGCAAAATGTCGCCACACATGCAAATTCAAACGTGCCATTTGGCAGCATGCGTGGTGAAATGCCTTTGCATCATTTGGAGTGAAAGCCAGGTCAGTGGCAGATTCTGCCATGAGCCTTTCCATTTTGCAGTTTGCTTTGAGCATGGACAGGATTTTTCTGTGAACTTCTGAAGCTGGGTTCATGTGCCTTTCAAACAACACTGTCAATGGCCTGACAAGGGCCTTGACTTGAGCTGCCTTGCCCCTCATCTTGCCACCATGCTTCTTTCTGAGAAACATGCTAGGCTTCATTTTGCCACTAGTCAGCATTGAGTGGGAAAGATGAGGAAGATGTAGGATTACTGTTGGCGGTTTTTTCTAGGATTACTGTTGGTGTTTTTTCTAGGATTACTGCTGGTGTTTTTCTATGATGCATGTGAGGCTTTTGCACTCACTTTTGATGAGTGGAGATCCTTGTGATGATGCCAAAGGTGGAAGGCTTGGTGGAGTCAATGCTGATTGTTAGGATTACTTTTGTGCGCTGGTAGGGTTACTTTGAATGTGTATAGGATTATTGAGGTTGAAAACATGTTGCACTCATCAAAAGCAATTCTGGCAGGAAAGGCACAAGCGATTCTGAAGAGGATGAACCTGCTGATGAGCAGTAGGCTTCTTGCTGATGGTAGGATTACTTTTGATTGAGCAATTGATTAGGATTATTGGTGACTTGCAAAGAGTTTAGGATTATTTCTGGTCAAACAAGCTTTGCTTCATTTAGGGTTTCTGGTGGAGCAAGGAACATGGTCACATTGTCTTCTGGCACAGGCAGAGATGATTCGACCATCCTCCAACAATGAGAGTATAAATATATATCATAACTATTTTAAAAACATGTACACTATCACAAGAAATCTTATAAAACTTATTTGGAAACATTTGTCAGCCATGCAAAACACTAAGTCTTTTCCAAAAGAGAATCACTTCTCAAATATTTGCAATGATAATGCCTTTACCAAGTCATGACAACTTTCAAGAAAACCACTAAAGTTTACAAAACAAAAATGAATAGAAAGTGGTCAGAATGTGGTCAGAAGTCATGAAAACAATCAAAAATAATTGAAAACACATACTTTCCAATTAGAAAAATGAACCAATTTTGGTCAGAAATCATTAAACAAATCAAAAAATCTTTGAAAATCCATAATTTTCAATAGAAAATACATGTTTTTATAGTATTTTTGGGTAAACAATTGAAAGTTTGTTGAAAGTTTGGTGCAAACTTTCAGTGAAACTTTCACCCTGGAATGTCAAACTTTCAGTGAAACTTTCACCCTGGAATGTCAAACTTTCAGTGAAAGTTTCACCCTGGAATGTCAAACTTTCAATGCAAACTTTCAATGAATGTTTATTAAATAATAAATATAATTTAAGATTAATTAGAAAGACTTTCTACATTGAAAGTTTGCATTGAAAGTTTGACATTCCAGAGTGAAACTTTCACTGAAAGTTTGACATTCCAGGGTGAAAGTTTCACTGAAAGTTTGACATTCCAGGGTGAAAGTTTCACTGAAAGTTTGCACCAAACTTTCAACAAACTTTCAATTGTTTACCCAAAAATACTATAAAAATATGTATTTTCTATTGAAAATTATGGATTTTCAATCATTCTTTGATTTGTTTAATTAGTTCTGACCAAAATTTGTTCATTTTTCTAATAGGAAAGTATGGGTTTTTCAATACTTCTGACCAATTTTTGGTCATGTTTAATTCAATTATTTTGTTTTGTGTTTTTGATAGGATTATAAATTTCATTTAGCATTAAAGCGTGTTTCTTTGGGCTAGGATTACTAATTTCATAGGATTACTTGACAGGTTTCTCCTGGGTTTTAGGATTATTTTCTTGCTTGGGTAGGATTATTTCTCCAGTGTTGTGTCTTGTTTTGGTCTTGTTTTGCCAAGTCTTTGTCCTCAGGGTTGAAAGTTAAGATTGCTGTTCTTTTTCTAGGATGCTTGGCTTTCTTGCATGTAATGTGGCTCCCTTGGACTACTCACTTGGCAAAGACCAAAAAGCAGAAACAACCGATGAAGCAATAACCAGGAAGCTGTAAAAAACATAAAAATGAATACAAATATAGATTGAGTTATTGTATTTATTAAACAAAAGGCAATATTGTATGGACCAAAGTTTCTGTTCCAAAGACAGCTGTCTCTTTGCAGTTGAAGTTTGTGGAGTTTTTGGTCTAGGATTATTTTTGCAACTTCTAGGATTACTGGTTTTGGTGTAAACTTCTAGGATTGCTTCTGGCAGAGTTTTTGAGGTTAGGATTATTGGAAGCTTAGATCCTCCAACAGCAATGCTTGCTCAAGCAAGAGCAAAATACCATACAGTGCCATGCCTCAGCCTAGAAAGAAGCCCGCACAAAGTGAAGAAACAGGGCGTTTGGCCTTGGAGGATGATGGAAAGCCAGATGCCTCTGACAAAGAGGAGGAAGGAGATGAGAAGGTGACCAAGGAGGCAAAGGGCAAGAAGAAGGCAAAGGAACACTGCTGGCTTTGGACAACACCTTCTCAAAGATGTGCAGAACTGGCAGATCACCTTCATCTTCAGCAAGCGCACCTCCTTTTTTCCCTGCCTCTGCACATCCCTCCTCCAACTTCAAGAACCCAAGGCATTGGTCAATCAGGACCTTCTCCTCCTGACTGGCCTTCTTCAAGCACCTCGCATAGAGGTCAGGGAATTTCTTCAGCTCCCTGTACTGCTTGGCGCAGATCCTCAAGGTCTCATCCACCTTGTCTTGCCAATCATCATCCATCAGCTTGCTGAAGTTCATGCGCTGCTTCTGGTGCTGCAGCTTCACAAGGGCAAGCTTCACCTTGCTGCTTGCCAAGACGCCATTTCTGGCAACTTTGAAGAGCCTTTGGAACAGCTGGCTCACATGCCTTTGGCCAAGCCAAGAAGGATCAGCTGCAGATTTCCAGGTGACTTTCCCATTCTTGGGTGGCTCAACCAAGGAAAGCAGATCCCAGCAGCCCATCTCCTTGAACATGGTCTCGAAGGGCCCCATCAAATCACTTATACTGATGCTAGGGTCAGGTGCCAGCCTTTTCATGGCTGTCAAATGAGCTGTCAAATGATTTGAACCAAGACTGGAAAACAAGTAACCCTATCAAGTACAACAGGCTCAACACACAAAGTAATCCTACCAAGTACAGCAGGCTCATCACACAAAGTAATCCTACCAAGTACAGCAGGCTCATCACACACAGAAATCCTACCTGGCCCATGAAAAAAAGTAATCCTACCTCATGGATTTCGCACATGTCTAAAAGTAATCCTACAACATTGCACAAGAACTCTGAGTTATCACAATTCTCTGACCCAACTTTCCAGCTTTCCAGAAAATTCATATCAACAAAACCTTTCCACAAAACACAAAAATATTGTTTTTCATTCGAAACAATCCTTTTTTTCAATCAGTTGTCCCCCAGAAAATGATACCAAAAAAGGTATAAAAATAGAATTGTCCATAAAAATGCAAGGTAAAAATAGTTAGAAAAAGAGATAAAAAATAGAATTGCCCCCAAAATTGTCTCAAAATAGTTAAACAAAAATTGTCGTTTTGTTGCTTTTATAGAATTAACTATTAGTTAAATATTTGTCTGCAGACAACAGAGTTAACTATTAGTTAGGAAATTGTCTTGCCCGATCTATAGGGAACCTAGCAGCGATGGCCTCCAAGCGAGTAGCGATGGCCTCCAACCTACTAGCGATGGCCTCCAACCTAGTAGCGATGGCCTCCAACCTAGTAGCGATGGCTCCAACCAGTAGCGATGACCTCCAACCTAGTAGCGATGGCCTCAAACCTAGTACGAGTAGCGATGGCCTCCAACCTAGTAGCGATGGCCTCCAACCTAGCGATGGACTCCGACCTAGTTTCAAGGGCCTCCAATCTAGTAGCGATGACCTCCAACCTAGTAGCGATGGCCTCCAATCTAGTAGCGATGACCTCCAACCTAGTAGCGATGGCCTCCAACCTAGTAGCGATGGCCTCCAACCTAGTAGCGATGACCTCCAACCTAGTAGCGATGGCCTCAAACCTAGTACGAGTAGCGATGGCCTCCAACCTAGTAGCGATGGCCTCCAACCTAAGAGCGATGGCATACCTGTCCTCGTGTAATTGCTGACCGTCACCACGCCGAGTGAAGATGTGAACCTCATGTTGCCGACGTTGCAGCGCTGCCGCCAACTCGGTGACGTGAGGAGCCACGCCACCCACGGCGATGGAATGCAAAGACTCCCAAGAGAACATCGCAATCCTCATTTTCCCGGACTCTTTGTTTCCGGGTGAATCGGTGCGGAATGCCTCTGAAGATCTCGCCCCCTCCTCGCGGTTTGAGCCAAACGGTCTTAGTCATGTTCTTGTTCTTGCGCGCAAGACAAACGCTGTCTGCAGTATCATCATGGAAACCTGCGTGTCATGGTTGTTTGCCGGCAGGTTTTCCACAATCGCGGTTCATCCTTCTTTGGCGGCCTTACTTTGGGCCTTCTTCACCTTGCCTTTTCCTGGAAACCAGCTGCCAACCCGAAAAGGGCAAGGGTACAAGCTTCACATGTTTTGAAGTGTTCGCGTCCTGCAGCTGCAACCGTCTTTCGCTCCTTTTTCTTTGCCTGCAAGCACGATCCGTCGCTTTGTCCAGTGCTCTGTCCTGCCTGCGTTGTAGATTGAAGTTTTACCGCCTCCTGCCTTTGCAGCCTTTTTCTCTGCCTTTCGTCGTTGCCAAAACTCTCGGTTTTTCTGGTTCTTTCGGGAGGGCATAGTCGAAGCCTTGGAAAGGCAAATGTTCAACTGCAATTTTGCATACTTCAAGCAAACCCACCACGTTTTTGACGAGTCTCCAACATAGTCTCCGCGTCTCTTCCGTCTTTTGATGATAACACGCTTGCACTGCACTTGGGCATTGGCTTTCTCACGCGCCTCTGCCTTTGCCAAGCACTCTGCTTCAAACGCTTCAACTCCCATGGCCTCACAAAACAGACCGGGAATCCGGTAGGAACCCGGTAGAGACCCGGCAGGAACCCAGTATGTTTTTTATCAGATCAAGAACCGTAAGCGAAACGACATGTTTTAAGACATGTTTTAAAGAAAAACATAACAAATAGCGTTTGAAGCAACACCTTTCCGAAAAGGATGAACGGTATCTTTCTTTGGGCATTAGAGACAGCATCTACGCAGCTCTGAGCACTGTGGATGCGAGATGTCCCGTGTCTGACCTGGTCGTGACCCCGATTCTTCCTTCCTGGTGGGTTTCCGACAAAGAGCTTTGTTTGGACAGATTCAGGCTGATTCAGGTTTCAGATGCTAGGGCAACCGCAACACTCCGTCAACCTAGCAAATGTGTCAAGAGCTGTGGGAGTTTCTTTGAAAGAGGTGTGTTTTGAACGCAGGAATTTGTGTTTTATTTTATCTTTTCCAAAGTCCTTAGGGCTCACACTTCGCTGCTATTTACAGCAAACTGGTGTCCGTAAAAAGGAAACGCACTGCGGACACAAAACGGAGTGAGTGGCCGAGCTTTTAAAAACAACAATTTCGGCAGCAGGGCTCGCACTTAAGAGAAACAGCTGTCGCAGCGTGCAAGCAAATTACATTGGGAGAAGTAATGCAGATTTCGCATTGGTGGCTGGCGCAGTGAAGCGTGGCCCACATGTCAAAAGACGCTGCTTTCAGGGCGCGCGCTTGGATGTTTCTGCGTTGCATGATTTGGCCTGAACGTCAACAAGCAAGGCAGCAAGCACACATGACATGTTCTTCAGGTTTGCTCCCTTTAGGATTAGGGCACCACCTGCATGGAGGCCTGCCTTGTTTGTTTTCCCTAGGTCGCTGAAATGAAAGCTATAAGGGTTCTTACTTCTCAATGACTGAGCAGCTGATCAGGTTTTTTTGTTCAAACTTCACACAACGCGACGATCAGGTATTGCGCGCGGCGTGGTTCCCTCAAGGGTGAAACACGCCTGCGCCCACGCAACTTCGACGGGGTTCGGGGCGCTCCCCCAGAATCTGCTGAAGCCACGATGGCCCCTCACCTCCAAGCAGGGCTAGGGTCTAAAACTTACAGCTGTTGGCGGCGATGATGCGTGACGGGGGCTCGGCCGAGTATCAAAACTTACAACATCTTACAACTATATCTACAAAGCTTCGCTACAACACACAAATCGAAGGTGGAGGTCCAGACTCTAGCGCGTGGAACCTAAGGACGAGAACCTGACCGGATCATTTTCAATGATTTGTTGCCCAGGAATGCAACCACTGAGGACCAAGCAAAGGCCTTTTCATTGACCTTTGATTGCTTGCTTTGCTTCGCGTTCCTTTGCTGCGCTTTGAGTTTTGCGGTTTTTTGGTTGGTTTGTAATAAAGCGATAGCGCTTGAAAGAAACGCAAGAATGAGCAAAGCCCCTTTTTGTTTTCCTTTTAGCTTTCTTTGTCGGCTTCTGTTTTCCTTTCCTCTCCCTTGCTGCACGCCTTTAATCTTCTTCTACTGCGCAGAGAAACATAGACTAGAAGCAAGATCGTGAAAGGCAAAGATCATCAAAGAAAGACCTCAACGCGAGAGTGGAAAAAACAACAGGAGCACAGCTGACAAGCCAGAGCCTAAAAAAGGCGTGCGGAGAAAGGACCGGATAACCCCACATGTTAAGCTTATAAGAACTAGCACGGAGAAGTGGAGACTGAGAAGAAAAAGAGGACGGAAACATACTGGACGATAAAAGTGACTCAAAGAGACACCGATGTGAAAGAATAAGCAGGGAATGATTCAGATAATGATTGAGGGAGTGAGAGAGACAGAGTGTGTGGGCGTAGCTTCTTTTGTGGGTCAGCTTTATGTGAGTTTCTTCAGAAGACGCGCAGAATCTTGCAGGCTCTGCGCACTGCACCTGCCACACGAAAGGCAGGCCAGGCGCGGCCCGGCGGCGACCACGCGTCCCGCAGGTCCTCCTGAAGGCTCCGCCTACTGCGCCTGCCACACGAAAGGCAGGCACGGCCCAGCGGCGGCCGCCAATCTCTTGCGTTTGCTCGCGCAGCTCTTTGGCTCTTGCAGGGTTCTGCAAAAGCCGGGCCATGTCCTGTAAAGCCAAGAAGACCTCGACTTTCATCCTCACAACCTGCCCGTGTGAAGATACAAATGCATCCCACGCAAATGGGACCTTCAAGAAGAGGACAAGAATGATGAGCCCAAGCGAATGCTGGAAAGTCTTGCGCCAGCCAGCAACATTGGCAACTGCGTGGCCAAGACCCTCAGGCAGCGGCAGCAAATGGGAAGTGCCCTGCCACTGCTGGAGCGACATGAGCACCTCTAGGCTGTATGCGTTTGTTGCCCTCACATGTTTGGATAAGGGCATTCCTTTTCTGCACTGGAATCAAAATAATGAAACAGCAAGCTAATCTCGGACAGGCAGCACAAGGAAGTTCATTCTTTCATTCAACACGACTGGATGCGGCCAATCTGAACTGGCAGAGCTGGAGAAAGCATGCGCATGAAATAGCTGGGCAATGAAATAGTTTGCCCAAAATGGCGGTGGGTTGAAACGCTTGGTTGCTCTTTAGTGTTCTCTCATGGTAGGCTTGAACAAATGAATGGTATCGGGTCTGCTATGTTGGAATGGCACCTTCCTCCTCTAAAGTTTACCCTCAACTGGGTGACAAAAGGTCTGCTACCTGGAGTGGTTCCTTCCTCCTCCAAATTCTACCCTCGTATGGCTCACAAAAGTCCACTACTAGTGTAAAATTTGATTCACAAAAGGTCTGCTACCTTGGCGTGGCACCTTCTTCCTCCAAATTTTATCCTCGGGTGGCTCTCAAAAGGTCTGCTACGTTGGAATGGCACCTTTGGTGCCATTCCTTCTCCATATTCTACCCTCGGGTTGCTCACAAAAAAAGGTCTGCTACGTTGGAATGGCCCCTGCCTCTTCTAAATTTTACCCTAAGGCCCTTGGGTGGTTCACAAAAGCGCTACCTTGGAACGACGTCTAAAATCTACCGTCGGGCGCCTCGCAACCAAGATCTGCTACGTCTTGATACAGTAAAGGGTCTTCTACAGTGCTTCACAGGATGCGGACCAAGGGACCAGGGGCCAAGGGAGCAGGGGACCAAGACAAAGGGACCAAAGGACCGACACTTGAATTCAAAAGCTGCAATCATTTCTCATGGTTTCTGACGAAAAATACAAAACAAACAGAAACCAACCAAACGAAAGGATAACAAAAGTATGTTTCATTGATTTCCTTACCTTCTCCTGGCCTTTCTTGTGTCGGGCCCTTAGCTTTTTAGTTTCTTTGGTTTGCAAAAGCTTGACACCGATCTAGTACCTAAGACTCGTTTGTAAAGCGTTTCCTGCTTCTCGATACCCTCAGCTCGCCTTTGCTCTTTCAAAGCGATGCACATTACGCTTGTGATAAGCGCTTTGCAAATGAACCTCAGAGGTTCGTTGAAGAGGACAAACCCTTTGATGCAATGATCTGAGTCTCTGAGTAGGCGCCTACTGAATTTTCAAAAAAAAAATAGGAACCAAAGGAATAGTGCGAGCGCTTCTTCGAGGAAGCGTGAGCTATCTGCATCCATACTAGTAGCTTACTTGTAGGTATACTAGCTACCTAGCTACTGCTACCTCTAGCTAGCTACGGCCTACCCAGAAAAAATAAAAAGATTCTTCGGTTCGGTTCACTTTGTCCCTGAGAACCCTCCCTCACCTCCATGTGCTTCTCATTGATCAGAATCTTTTCCGGACACAACTGACAACGGAACTTGCCTCTGAAGGCAGGCTCCTGGAACGCGAGGAAAACAAAGGAAAACTACACACGTTTCGACGTACGCCGGCTGTCAAATGCACGCCTCCGGGGGCACGGGCGGATCAGAGTCAGCGGATTCCTGAGAAAGGAAAGCTGAAAAGCTGGATGACAAGCAGACAAGAAAAGCTGGAAGGAGAAGGAGACACCGCAGAGACACTGTAGGCAAGCTGGCAAGCTGTCTAGATTCTGTCTAGATCGAGACCTGACAACCTGGCAGAAAGAACAGAGAAGTTGTCAAATGCGTCGATTTATTTGTCTCATCGCTACGAACGGAGCAAAGGGCCACGCTACTAGGGGCTCCGGGCCTTACTACTAGGAGCATTCCTGCTACTAGGAGCAAAGGGCATCGCTACTAGGAGCAAAGGGCCACGCTACTAGGGGCTCCTGGCCTTACTACTAGGAGCATTCTTGCTACTAGGAGCAAAGGGCATCGCTACTAGGAGCAAGGGCGCTAACTTATTTGTCTATGCGCCATGTCGATGTCGTTTATGTCTATGTGCAGTACTTCCTCAGATCCCTCGTCATCTTCGCCTTGCACATGACATCAAAAGTCTTACAAAACACATTGTCCTTTATCTGCCATCTCAAGTACATTGAAGGCCATTGCTATTAGTAACAAGGGCACTACTACTAGTAGCAAGAATCTAGTAGGTTGGAGGTCAACTGAGTTCACGTTCCAGCACCTCTTTCTGCACCAGGCAGCAGGCGCCTAACTCAGACCAAACTGTAAGCCTCTAAATGCAGCAACCAGTGCAACATGTCATTCGTGTTTATTTGTGGCGTTTTCTGTTGCCTTTCTTCCATACATATCCTTTTAATTAGAGTTTTGACTTTTCCTTTTGATTTCTGCACTTTCCTTCCTTATCCTTCCTTCCTGTCTTTCTCTTTTCTGAAACACACAGGTGTTTGCACAATGCCTCTCTAGCTTCTGCTGTTGGTGATGAGTAATCTCTTCATCTGAATCGTCGTCAGCTTCATCCCATAGAACTGCTCTCTTGATCATGGCGATTCAAAACACAAAAGTTTTCTTGGGTATGTTGGAAGACCTGAAAATACAAAAAATTGCCGATGTCTTTCTTCTCAAAAGTGTTTCTCTACTGAGGAAGTGACATAAAAGCACGTAAATCTGTCTTTTGCTGTGCTTCTTTGTGCTGAGACAGTGCCTTTGTGTCAGTGTTGTTACTATGTGTGTGTGTCACTTTAGAAGTAAACTTAGCCAAATTCGCCACAACTTGCCATCAGAAGTTTGTGTCAGCATTTCACTTGACGGACTATGGGCCTGTGCGTGTCACATGTTGGAGGCCATCCCTAGTAGGAACACATAAAAGAGAAACGGAGGAAAGGTCTGTGTCACATGTTGGTATCGCACATTAGTGTTTTCTGAAACTCGCTCTTCACCGCAGCTCAGCGCATTTTCTCGAGTCTAGACCTGACAGGGCAACTTCTCTAATCGTGGCCCTGCCTCCTTACTTGATTAGGTAGGAGCACGGACGCTACTAGGGGTGCCTGGCATCGCTACTAGGAGCAAGGACGCTACTGGGGTAGGCGAGAAGTTTGCCAGCTACTAAAGCTTCTAGTAACTGGACGCAGGATAGCTCATGTTTCTTCAAAGCGAGGGCGGGGGAGAGCTTCCTTGAAGAAGTGCTCGCACCAATGATTTGGTTCCTAGGCTTTTAGAAAAACTTAACTTAACTCCAAGGCATCATGTCTCTTTTTTTCCTCCCACGCTTCGCTCTCTCCTAACAACTGCCACGCTTCGTGACGGGAGAACCAACTGATTGCGGAGAACCATTGGTGTCACTTTGACTTCTTCTGCTCCGCATCACTTCATCCTGAGGAACAAGAAGTTAAAAAGAATGCTTTCTGGTGGTGGTGATCTCACAGGACGGGAAAGTTGAAAAAACAAAATAAAATGCATGTCTAGGATGCCACTAGGGGCTTACTATTAGCAACAATAACGCTACTAGGGGCTCCTGGCCTTACTACTAGGAACAAGAACGCTACTAGGGGCTCCTGGCCTTACCAATAGGAACAAGAACGCTACTAGGGGCTCCTGGCCTTACTACTGAGAACGAGAACGCTACTAGGGGTTCCTGGCCTTAGCACTAGGAACAAGAACGCTACTAGGGGCTCCTAGCCTTAATTAGGAACAACAACGCTACTAGGGGCCCCTGGCCTTAGTATTAGGAACAAGAGCGCTAGGAACAAGAACGCTACTAGGGGCTCCTGGCCTTACTACTAGGAACAAGAACGCTACTAGGGGCTTCTGGCTCTGCTACTGGGAACAAGAACGCTCCTAGGGGCTCCTGGCCTTACTCCTAGGAGCAAGGACGCTACTAGGGGCTCCTGGCCTTACTCCTATGAACAAGAACGCTACTAGGGGCTCCTGGCCCTACGCCTAGGAACAAGAACGCTACTAGGGGCTTCTGGCCTTACTACTAGAAACAAGAACGCTACTAGGACCCCTCGCCTTACGACTAGGAACAAGAACGCTACTAGAACCTCTTGGCCTTACTACTACGAGCAAGGAAGCTACTAGGGCTCCTGGCCTTACTACTAGGACTCCTGGCCTTACTCCCAGGAACAAGAACGCTACTAGGGGCGCCTGGCCTTACTACTAGGAACAAGAACGCTACTACAGGCTCCTGGCCTTACTCCTAGGAACAAGAACGCTACTACTACTAGGAACAAGATCACTACTAGGGGCTCCTGGCCTTACTACTAGGAACAAGAACGCTACTAGGGGCTCCTGGCCTTACTCCTAGGAACAAAAACGATGCTTTCCTGGCCTTACTACTAGGAGCAAGGACGCTACTAGGGCCTCCTGGCCTTACTAGGAGCAAGACGCTACTAGGGGCTCCTGGACTTACTACTAGGGACAAGAAGCTACTACAGGCTCCTGACCTTATTCCTAGGAGCAAGAACGTTACTAGGGGCTCCTGGCCTTACTACTAGGAACAAGAAGCTACTAGGGGCTCCTGGCCTTACTACTAGGAACAAGAACGCTACTAGGGGCTTCTGGCCTTACTACTAGGAACAAGAACGCTACAAGAACGCTACTAGGGGCTCCTGGCCTTACTACTAGGAGCAAGGACGCTACTAGGGGCCCCTGGCCTTACTACTAGGAGCAAGGACGCTACTAGGGGCTCCTGGCTACTAGGGGTGCCTGGCCTTACTACTTGGAACAAGAAGCTACTAGGGGCTCCTGGCCTTACTCCTAGGAACAAGAAGCTACTAGGGGCTCCTGGCCTTACTACTAGGAACAAGAAGCTACTAGGGGCTCCTGGCCTTACTCCTAGGAACAAGAAGCTACTAGGGGCTCCTGGCCATACCTAGGAACAAGAACGCTACTAGGGGCTCCTGGCCTTACTCCTAGGAACAAGAACGCTACTAGGGGCTCCTGGCCTTACT